GCAGTAGGTTTCCTTGTGCAGGCAGTTCTTCACGCAGCCTTACCTTGTTTGTGAAATAGTCTTCTCTTTCTGGTTGCTCTGTGAAAACCGAATAGGTCAAGGAGATCTGACCATACAGGGCCAGTGAAAGTGGTGTAGCATGAGGAGCTGTTAAGCACTGAAGATAGGAAAGGGTTTTTTTCCCTTGGGTCACTTTAAAATACTGCATTCCTGGATGGCGTGTGTAATTGGAAGAGGTGAAACTCGCATAAGTGAAATTTTGAAGTTTGCTAAAAGAATGGCAAGATAGGATGTGTCCAGTGGGACTTCAGAGTAACATACAACACTGTTTTCCATCTGCTCTTCGCATTTTTAAAAACTTACATCCACTTGAACTGGAAGGCATGCTTTTAAGATGTCTTAAATTTTTCCTGGTGTGTTCTCTGAACAGGGGGATAAGGATTTCCCTCCAGCTGCAGCTCAGGTGGCTCATCAGAAACCACATCCTTCTGTGGAAAAGCTTCCTCACCCACAACATGTCAAACAGCACATCCACCAGCCTCGCAAGTGAGCTTTCCATCAAAATCTCAGCCAAACTGCCGTCAGTGAATAAGATTTTGAGAGAAGATGAAAACCCTTTAGGATTCACACTGTCAAATCAGGAACATTGACCTCTAAAATAATACGCTGTTTCTTTTACTTTAATTCTCAAGGGTTAATAAGAATGAAGACATTGTTAGGGAATTTTCCATCTGGGATAACAACCTGTTAAGTATTTGCTGATCAAGGGTGGGTTTTTTTATAAGATCTTCTTATTACCAAGATAAAACTTTAGTATGAATAATATGATTAAAACAAGCTTAAAACTTGTACTTTTAGTTGTGGCATCGCAATAGCAGGTAGTTAATATAGTTTTTATGCTAAGCCGATAAGGAAGAATAGCCCTTTTGTACCGGTACCTTTACTATCTGGAGGGAGTTTGTTGTGTGTGTTGAGATAGAAATCGGTGGTTGTCTTGATTATGTAGAACAGTTGCAGTCTTCAGTATCCTACAGTGTTACACTCCAGTAGCTGTGCCTTTTGATTTCAACTAGTGAGATGATAAAAGGGCCCAAAAACATTCCCAAGTGGGCAGAAATCCAGCTGAATCTGCTTTACACCCCTTTCCACTTGTACAGTCTTGCTGAGGTTCTTCCATTTGGAGGTCTGCAGGTATGGAGAGGGGAGAGAAATCAGGGTTACAAGAACACTGCTGCTGTAGGCAACTGATTTGTGATCTCATGGGTCTCACTGGGGGCTGTATTTTTATGAGATGATGATTTCTCAATTCCAATAGCAAGCTGAAGGAGCTCAGGACCCTCCAGAGTTGAACTTAAAACAAACCGGTAAAAAATCTGCTTTCTTTTTTTAACTTACAGTTTGAGATCATTATTTGAAATTAAGAGATACCATTAGTAAATATGTTTAACAGACCCAGCCTGTTGCACATCATATTTTTTTCCTAGTCGTCTTGTTGTGAATAAGGAAAGTAGTGATCTGAGGGAATAACAGCTACTTTTCAAATAGAGCAATCGGATTTGTTTTGGCCACATAATTAGATCTTTTGGTTGCACAGTTCAAAATTACTTAGCCTATCATTTTCCTTCTGCAACTCATCTCTGTAAAACCCAGGAAAATAATTTTTTAAACATTCCACCTACATTTTTAAAGTGTACTTCTGTTTTTAACTGACTATGAATGCAGTACAGCCTTTAGTACCCTCTAGGTTTATAAAACTTCTAATAACATCAAAAAAGTGGGTGCCGGAGCTAGTGCTGCAAACATTCACCTGGGAAATCAGTGAAACTTGGAGCTTTACTAATTCATTTATGTTTAAGATCAAATAGTATAGAAAGCCAGTGAGGAGAGTTTTAAAAATACTATTTTTTTAAATTTCTGCAGATTAAATAATTATTCCCTGAGTAACTGATTTAAAACAACAACAACAAAATCATGTGAAATATGGCCCATTTCACAAGTGGAATCACTCACTTAATGTGGGTGAGAGGGACCTGGCATTTCCATCTCTTCATAGGCTTGAAATGGAAATGATCTTTTGCAAAGGATATGCATGGATATATTTATTTTACACCCAAGGAGGAATGTACAATCTGTATATGCAGTCCTTATTTTCAATTTAATTAGATAACCGTACTTGCCTTAAGGAGTGAGCTTTGTTTATAAGAATTATTCTGTATTAACATATGCATAACTTCTAAAATGTTTTCTGTTTCTGATGTCGGTACATCTGAGACTTGTTTGTAGCCACTCGTGAGTGTACAAGTGATTCACACATGAGTAACTCATTCATAAGGGTAGCGTTGTTGAGCCTCATGGAATATCTGCACGAGGTAAATTGCTGGCAGGAACATTTGCAGATTCAGGACAGAAAGTGGTGGCATCTCACTGATGGTGCAGCCAGTAGCTGTCAGTGTGCTGCATCAGCGATGAAACAGATCATTGCAGTTGCTTGGTACTGGTAGCTGCTGGCTTGGATAGTCTTGTGCCTACATCTGGGAGTGTCTAGACTCCAGCTGTAGTCGATGGTGATGTAGTCAAGACAGTCGGTAGAGTTTAGGTATGGCATCTTTGACCAAATGGAAGTGTCTTTCAAGATGAGCTGGATCACTCTCGACTCCATTGACTGCAGCGGAGAACTAAATGTACCTCAGTGTAGAAGCACGCAATTAGGTGGGGCTGGGTACCTCTACTCTGTGTCTAGTAATAGCTGGTAGAAATGCATATTTCTGTCTTCTGAAAGCAACACCACATTTCCATTCTGATACTAAAAGTTAGGAACATGGATGCTTTTGAATTACGAACTACTGCTCCTGGTTGTTAATGCAATATATACAGCATATATAGCCAATACCTGAATTTTGCCTTTGATTGCTTAGATGGATATGTAAGTTTGTACAATGGAGTATGACTCTCAAGATAGCTTTAGTGGCTTTTAGAGTGCAGGAATTCCTATATGGTTAGAAAATGTCTCTGTATGAAAGCATGTTATATATTGTTGGGAGGTATCCATGTTTATACATCAGTGTCCTTACCAAAGCATTACCTTGCCTAAAATAAAGAATCATAACTGGTGATCTGGATTGCCTACTGATGGGTTTTGATACTTTTAAAATATGTTAAAATAACATACCAGCACAGGAGATGTTAAGATGTTACCTTGAAATGATTGCAAAAGAAATTTTCTGTAATTGTCAATGTGGCGATAATGCAACAATAAAGCATGAAGTTATGTATTGGGCTCTTTTTTCTGTAAGTACAATGTAAATCAGCAGGGTGTGGTTTCATGGGGTTTATGGGATTTTATTACAGAATGCTGCATGACTAATCAACATTTTATAGATAGTGACATTTATTAGGAAGTTTTATGACATGGTGGATGAGCTGTTTTGGATAGTCCCGTCTCATTTAAAATAAAAACTAGATGCTACCAGCTAGAATGGGAGTTACTGTTTTCCACTGTGAAATTGGAGATCCTCACTCGATCTTTGCGAAGCTATAGAATCTAAGCCTGGTAATAAGTCAGTATGATAAAGGAAATGAAATTTAACATTTTCCATTGCTTTTCAAGTTATAATCTTCTTTCAGAAAAAGAAAATATTGTTATCAGAAGTGGCAAGCCTCTCCTAAAACTGCAATTAACATTACATAGCTCATGCCGTAACACAAGTGATGCACAAAAGAGTTTGGAGAAATGGTCGCAGTATTTCTGGAATCTTTCTGATACTTTGGGCATCCTGTATTTAGTATATGTGTAGTGTGTATATAATACAACAAATATATGTGGTACAGTGCAGATATGATAGATTTACTGCCCTGAGACTGTTGTAATGTTACATCCTTAGACTCTGCACTCACATAATGATGTGCTACATTATTCAAAAGATGTCATCTTTCATTAAAATTTGGGGAAAAAGCATGTGCGTGACATCTGGCATGGGCATGCTGCTGATTGAGTTGTCTGTAATTACTCCAAGTTCCATCGCCCTGCTATCAGCAGTATTGCAAATGTTATTAGTAATTAGAAATTATTTACTTCTAGTTTCAACACTATGGCTTACCCTTTTGTCATCGTATGTCTTGAAACATATCTCGAAACATGTCTCATACTTTTATCCATGGTGGTATGATCATCACATGCTCCTGGCTGTTTAGTGAAAATATTCACAGCAATCTGCTTCATACAAAGGTGAAAGGGGTGGATTGGACATACATTTTTGTCCCTCTGGAATAACTTTATTCTGAATACTCACCATCTTCATGTAAGAGGGAGGTGTGGATTTTATAAACTGCTTCTCATGTCCCCTTCAGATTTGGGTATATCAAGTTTAAAATGAGATTTAAGTCTAGGCCAATGCCTTTAGCTGTATGATTAAGATATGTTAATTGCATTTTAGAAAATGTAGGGATGCCAGTAAGGGAGCCGTTACTTTTACAGCAGGAAGAGGTGTTGCTGGTCAAATGCTGCAATGATATAAATAATTAAGAAGATAAACTCTGTTTTAGTTTAATTTCTTTGCACACAAACCTCCTCCCTCACAAGATGAAGACACTTAAATATAACTGGTTACAGCTAGCATTATCTGCTCTGTCAGTAAAAGAGGAATCCAGATCATAGTGACTGGAGGAGCCCCGAGGAGAAGAAACTGAGTCAAGTCTACAGCGATAAATCTTCATCAGACTTCTTCAACCAGTGGGCAAAACAAATCTGCGTTGTAGCTGTAGCCTTTGGTAAGTGCTGTGCATGATTGTATTATGTATAATTAGTAAAGGTGTTTATTAAGTACCTGATTTGCTTTCCTAAAGATTTTTTTTTTTCCTCAAAATTTCTCTATCACACCTCTGGCATGCACATGTTTTTCTTAGGAAGACGGAGGTTTGTATTTTGCTTGTTGCTGTGTTCTCGGGTCTCCTTCAAGAATGTGTACTTACTGGTTTTCCTCATCCCCCATCAAGAGAAGAGACTGCATCTAGTGTATACTATTTTTTGAGTCTTTTCATGAAGTGGTACCACTTGTATTTAGATAGGAAGCCTGAGAGGAGAGGTGGAATGGGCTGTATTTGAGAAAGCACTCCATGAACAAAGTCAGTTCTGTTGCAGAGACTGTTGCCCTTCCCTTCAGGATGCTGATCAGAGGTGGGAACAAGAATACAATGCCATTTGCTGAGAATGTAATTTATTACTACTTGGAGCTGATGGGCGTGCATGGGTGCTGATGATTTTTTGCAAAACACGCTCCCAACACTGCCAGCGACAAAACCGAAATGCCAATACTAAAGCCACTGCACGCATAGATCTTCCAAGTGACCTTGAAAGAAGCCCTGTAATATAATCTCTGCTGCCCAGCTTGTGTTGGAGATATTTTTAGAAAACTCGAGTGGCTGGCATTCTGTAGGTCACTCGCGGCTTTAGAAAAAGAAAAGCATTTGTAATCCACAGCGATTTTAAGGATTATAAAAATTGTTTAGCTGTTAACGAGCTGTGAGCTCTCTACAGCCAGCAGTAAGGACGCG